GTGCATAAATCGCGTTCACATTTGTTTTGAGTAGAATGTACTTTCTCTGTATGCTGCAGCACTGGAAGTATTGTGTCTAAGATTAAGCTAGTAACTCAGCATGTATGGCAAGGAGGCAAAAGTAAAGCAGGAAATGAGTATGTCGATGTTTAATGAAGGAAAAGTTATCAACACAGTCCATACTAACAGATCAATTTTGTTTTTTTTTTTAAACATGTGACTACTTGGGTCTTCAGAACTGGGTATCTATAGCAATTATTACAGCTTTCATTTCTCAGCTGAATCTTTTAGCAGTGGCATATGCTTTTGTACTCTGATGGATTTGATAGGGCAAGATAGGGTTTAAACTTTTCTAAAGAAGGGATAAACCCTCCTGAAAATGTTTATATACAGAAACTCTCTACCCTCTATTGTTATATCAGGAAAAACCAGAATAGTAAGTAAGAAAGACTTTCTGGGATATGTGAAATCAAGCATAGTGTTTGTTGAATTCACTTGTTTATTGAGCTCTCCTTCTGAATATGCTTAGCATTCTTACTGTGCTTCGGATTCCTTTTGGAAGAGCCGGTGGAGTCCTTTAGTAATGTGTGAATATGGTTTTCTCTTCCTTCCACCATTCATAATAAACAAAAATTGCAGCAAAAGCCAAGTTTGCAGATAATTTCTAAAACCTGAGCCTTTAGAATTGTACTACTATAGCAAGAACTAGATTTCTAAGTCACTGGAAACTTCAGACATGCAGCAGACTGATGCCCTCAGACTAGACAGTTTAATTAAATGAACAGTAAGAAATAAACTATGATAGCTTTATAACCTCACCACTGATTTACACATAAAGGATCAGCAGGCATTCATGAGTAGCCTTGTATCGATGGTCTCAAATCTCCCTTGACAAGCAAGCCTAAGGGATGAAGGATAATAAGATAAGATTAGATTTAACGGGAGGCAGGCATACGGAATATCCGCATGCATATGCATGACTCCATGTTTATAGGCTCATGTGAATTTTTCCTTTCAATTTTTTTCTTTTCTAAATTCCATGGGGTAGTTGTTTTTCATTGAGAACTTGGGATCTAAATCATTTCAAGGAGGGTAAGTCCTTATTCAAAGACTTGTTAACAAGAGTTGTTGAAAGGCTATGAATATAATTTCTGTCAGTAACTTTTGGTTAGTAGAGGGGAAAATTACTGGCTACTCCTCAGCATAAGCTACATGATATTCTCAACCTTGAACCTCAAAGAAAATATTGTTAGGGATTTTTTCTTCTAGAGTTATACTAAGCCCTTGGATGATGCTTTTTATTTGCCTTCTGTAGTTCTTTTCTTCCTTTTTTGATGAACAGGATTCGAACTTTTATTGCAGGCCTAAAAAACTGTATGAAAAGAGGATATCTCTACATAGATGGTGTTGAAGAGTTGCTTCGTGCTTTGAAGAAAGATGGCTACGAAATGCATGCTTTCACAAATTATCCTATTTGGTATGTCTTAATTGCAAATTTTGCTAAAAGCACAATTCTTTCAAATCACAACTGGATTTTTTCCTTCTCTGCAGGTATAAGATGATTGAGGACAAGCTAAAACTGTCTACCTACTTATCCTGGACATTCTGTTCATGTATATTTGGTATCTTAGTGCTCTGAAAATTTTCACCTTTCTGCTCCCTTTTTCTAGTGCATTGATGATGTGGTTTGCCTCACATTCAGGACAGATCATTCTCTTCAGTTCAAATTTTGAGAATTTAAATAAGTATCTGAGGCTGTAGCAGTTAAGCCAGTTTGTGTTATGATACTGCTTCTTCAGAAAGGGGATCATTGTGCTTCAGACTTGGTGTTTCTTTGGAAAATTCTCTTCATTCTCTTAGACTCTAATTTTTCTATTAGAATTTCCACCTAAGATTCTTATATAACTTCTGCAATATGCTCTTTAGCCTTTAGAGTGGTAAGAACTCAGAAGTTAGCCACTCCCCGCACCCCCCACCCCCCCAAAAAAAAAAAAAAAAAAAAAAACTCTCTCTCCACTTATTGTTTTTGTTTTACGATGTTGATTGCTGTTTTTTCCTGAATACAGGAAAAAGAAAGCCTGAAGCTCAATTTTATCTAGAAGTTCTCAACTGCCTTAAGGTTGATCCAGCAAGTTGTATTTTCATTGATGACAGGTATAGTTCTTTATCAAAGTGGTCTGTATCAGGTTCACGTAAAAATTAGAAACAGACACTAATGAGGGCACTGGACTTTGTCAATAAGTAAGTATTTTTTTGCATCGCACTGTACAGCTTGGTATATCAGTCACTACAGACGTGCACTGTTTTTTAGATTCAGCTAGCTAGGAACTTTTGGATACACAAAGTAATATTACTTTTACCGCTTCTTTCTTCTCTCCTCTTTACCTGTAAAGGCTGGCAGGAAGGTGACAGCTGTGTCAGCCAAGCATTTCACTTTATGTACCACAACTCAAATGAAAGGAAAAATAAAAACGCAGAAAAAAGAAAGCATAGTGCATATTTTATTGAAAAGCACAGTGACCTGGCATACATGTTTGTTTTGTACAAGACATTAGTATTCTTATAACACTTAATTGTGAAATGGGCATGCTTTTATAAACTGCAATTCATAATCTCAAAGTGATGTTTGGACTGACAGAAGGTTGAAAAGGAGGATCTCTCTGTATTGTCATATGTTATGTAACATTTTGCATTTAAGAGTTGGCATTCTTTCTCCATACTTCTTTGGGCAACTATTGTTATACATGTTGTACTTAATCTCATACATCTGATTTCTTTGTGGTTTGCCAATTAAATGTGTTAAATGATGACTGAATGTTGATTCATCAATTTCCATGCGAGTTAACAAAGAAAACTAGCTGGTTCAATATCTTTCCTGCAGCACATCTAGCTGCTTTCTTTTCGCTCATTTAGCAGTATCTCTGTTTGTAAATGGTTGTGCTCGAGAAAGAGTTTGTGTGTGTGTGGTTCTTGCAATGTGCAGTGACTGATGAATGAATGATGTTTGCACCAGGATGAGGAATGTCGAGGCAGCAATTGAAGCTGGTTTCACAGGTATTCAATTCAAGAATGCGGATTTGTTGCGCAAAGATTTGTCAATCCATGGCATTGACATTTCAATGAATGAACCCAATGAAAATCAAGATGCAGCTGAAGTTTTGGACTAACAACTTTTCGTTTCCCAAACTTCATCTGTCTGTTCCTCTTTTTCCCATATGTTCCTTTTACCAAAGATGGTGTACATTTTTTTCCTGGAAGAGCATTGAAGAAGTCGGTTCTCACCAAAATGACAGCAAAGATATCAAGGGCCTATCGGTGGAACCTTTATGTTCTTTTCTTGGTCCTGCGGTGTGCTTCCTTTTCTGATGCGTTTATTTACTGTTACAAGATATTATCCACTCTTTGCATGTTCTCATGGTCTGGTACATTGCACATAAAGAATCAATTCACTTGGATTTCTTATTTTCTTTTGTTGAAGAAAGAAACAGTAGTAGTAGCATCAACCTCAAATTAAGCAGTTCGCCTTTCACTTTCCCTAGGACATTGAGTTTATACTCTGGTATCCAGGAGCCGGTATCCCTAATCCTGCAGCAAAGGCCCAACGAACTAGGGTCTTCCCAAGGACTCTTTTTTGAGTGTGGACAACTTCCAAGGACTCTTTCTTTTGGGTCTTCCCTAATCTGCTTTTGTCCCTGTTCTTGTTCTTTAGCCTCTAAAGTAATTCTGCAGAACAAGGAGAAGAGTTGGGAAAAAAAATTGTTCTGGTCAACCAAATGTGAAATATCCATTTTTCTTTGATGAATGAGGGTCGTTTCAGAAACACCTTTTGCTGCATTTCCGAATTTTATTCTTTGATCCTTGTTTAGACAAGATTAAAGTAAAAATGGAATGACATTTGGTAACTTTTCTTCTCCAAAATATGAACAAAACAAAACATTATACTCAAAAGAGTTTTAAGTAAAATTACTGCAGTAAGTAACTGAATTTAACAAGCAAATTAGTTTTTTTCTCTTGCTAGGACAAAAAAAGTGTTTTTTCGTCGAACTTGAAAATAACATATGACCCAAAATTTCAGGAAAAAAAGCAAAAAACTTAAGCCTTGCTTGGATTGCGATTTTTCGTCGGAAAATTACGTCGTTTTTCGTGATTACATTTTCCTATTACCTTTTTGCCTCACATACATCAAATTGCTACAGTAATTTTTCCATGAAAAATCATGAAAAATGCAATCCAAACACAATCTTAGATTTTGGCCTGAATTTGAACAGTGATGCCTCTTTGTCACAGGACTGTGTTTTATCTGGCTTGTGTTTTGTTTGCCTTGCCAGAGAAGAGGATGCCAACTCTCCCATGATCCAACTAAATTAAACCGTGAGTCTTCTATAAATAAATTTAAAAAAAAAAAAAAAGAGAAGAAGAAGATGCCAAGTAACTGTAAAAAAAACATGCAATAGTATTTTTTTTTTCTACTAAAACTGTAAAAAACTTACTAGTATAAAAGTTGCAATCCAAGTGGAAGTCCAGAGTAGACATTCAGAGTTAAAAGTACAAAATTCCATACAATTAAGTTCTGCCCTTTTCAACATTGTTAGGTCAATAATGATTTAACAAATTACATTCTTCAAGAAACTGCATAAATGAATTAAAAAGAAATTTAGGACCTTTTCTTTTGTGAAAAATAACAAAATAGCAAACCCTTTTGGATATATGATTGTCAATTTAATGCCCTTCTCTGAGGATATAAATCTTGTGCACCAAAGGATGTTAGGTAGGTGGACTTTGAAGGCTTAATTCAAAACTTTTTTTTTTCTTTATTGCGAAAGAAATTTAATTAAGACTTTGGCTGAAAATTTGGAATTCAACCTATCTAAAGATTCAAAAAAGAAAAAGTGGAAAGGGAGAAAACAAAAGAAAGAAAAAAAAATTTTAAAACTGCTAATTGGGCATATGGGGTAGGCAGCCGGGCATATATGTCATATGACCGACCATCCGTTGCGCGGAGGCTCTGAAAGAGAGGACGCAAATTCAATTCCTGTTTCTTTTGTCACACAAAAATGAGGAACCTCGTTTAACATAAGCCTGAAACAAGAAAAGATACAAAGGCAACCCAATTAACCAGCATTTGACTATTAACTTGCTGACAAAATTCACACCTTCTTCCGACCAAGATAACAAGCCAATTATTTGTATAACTCCAGCAGAATTCAATCTTTATTCATGGTTCTGAGCTCCCTAACCAACGTTGGTCTCCTTCGAAATCGTCGTTCTTGAATACCCAGAAGTGGAACTGGGCAGAATGGCAGCTACTCCTTTAGTGGGTTCGAATATGCTCTCATTGAATTTATGCTGCAAAAGGGACTCTTTTGGGTCTGCCAAATCTTTTGTCATGCATGGTGTGAAGCCATTGAATTTGGGGTCCTCTGGAAAGAGGAGGATCATTTGTGGTTGTACGGCTCCTATTAGAGACTTCAGGCCAGCTGATGCCGATGAATTTTCAGCTACCACAATCAATGCAAAGGTAAAAGACCAAAAATTTCATGATTCTTTCTTTTTTCTTTTTTAAGGTTTGGGATTTTGTAATTTTGGTTTTATAGTCCTTTTTTGTCCTCTTCGTTGATGTATCTTGACTCCTACTTTTTGGCAAGTTTTCCAATTTGGGATTTTTATTTAGGTGACCGTTTAACCATCTGTATCTAGCTGGATACATGCTTAAATTGCTGTTGATTTGATCAATTGGGATGTATCTAGTGTTCATGTGACGGTTCAGTGGTCTTAATACAGATAACTATTGAGAAGGCTAGTGCATTGTCTGAACTTATGTGTCTCTAGGTGTTTTTCAAGACTTGATTTTGGGTATTCTGAAGTACAGATAATAGTTTACTTGTTTAAGGTTATATGGTTTCTCTTGATATCTCTGGTTGTCTCACCTAGGTGGATTCCTCATCTTGTAACAAACCACTGATGATTGGATTGTGAGACTCCTGTTTTCCTGGAGTTTTTCTCTGCCGTTGAATCAATTATGTAGATTTTGTTCCTGTAGAAATTGCCTCACTTAGTTGTTTGTCTGTTGAGTATGCAGCTAGACACCTGTCTAGCTGCTAGTTACATTAAATTTGCTATCTGAAGGTAGTTTGCATTAGTAATTATTGAATCATGATTATTCATGGTCGAATGCAATTGTGGCAGATTATATTTTGTTAGTATACTTTCTAAATTGTAGGGCCCAGGGCCCATGTAGTTCTGGCATATTCAACATACTTTTGGCTGTTCTACTGTTATCTTGCTGTTCTCTCCACATATTCTCGCAATTTATATTCTCCTATGTTTTCATTGAATAACTTTGTCTTGAACTTGGTTAATTTGTAAAGCTGTTTTTGCCTTGTCAAGATTGTGACCAGCATCGAATTTACCATGTTCTATCCTAGTGTTGACTTTAACCATCTGTTAATGGTCAACAGGATTCATCTAAGGCTGAGAGTGTGAGCATGGTGCGGGAGCAGGATGAAACTGACGTGCTCATTGAGTGTAGAGATGTCTACAAGTCATTTGGGGAGAAGCACATTTTAAGAGGTGTTAGCTTCAAGGTGAATTTTCTCTCCATGATTGTCCAGCAAACAGCTGTTGTTTTATTCTTGTTCACCTAAGGAGATGTCAACTACCTTTTTTATATGCCTTGGATGTTTTAATTATGTGCTTTTTACTTCCACTAATGATTGTATCAAATTCTTTGACCCATAGATTTGATTTAAAAGATATTCAGATGAGTGCCCATTACAAGAGCAATTGCTTCAAATAATTTAATTTGTGTGCTCTCTGTGTGTTGTGAACCCTAAAAAACCAATTAGGTTTCTTTTTATAGTAGTTGAGGTAGATTAGCATATACAAATGTAGTTTATGCTGTATCTTTACATCTCCATCATTGTCAGTATATTACAGTGATACATAATTTTGTTGTTCTTTTACGCTTCGTTCCTCTAAATTACCCAGACGGTGGACCTATTTGATGTTCTTTTTTTTTATTCTACTTTTTCTATGGAATTTTTTGTTTCCTCGCTCCTTGGTGGAGTTTTTAATGCAGCCCAGAGGAGATGTTATATGTACATAATGGCATAAACTCTAATTCCAGCAGTTTCATGCCCTAAATTTAACATGTTAGCGTTAAATATCACACTATTGAAGAAAGACCTGCATTACGTTTGTATGACTTTTGCTTCCTTGACCTCATATGCACAATTAATTTCAAGATAAGTAACTGGCTTTTCTAATTTCAAGAGTCATTCTTACCAAGGACAATGATTAGATTTGGCATCTTTTTCTCGAACTTACTACATGCAAAGCAAGATACTGTTACCTGTTTTTTGTGGTAGATATGCGGTCGGACAAATGCAACATAATGTTTTGCGAAAGCTTGTCGCAAATTTAATTTGCCACTTAAAATTAGAGGGTAAACCTTTTCTGAAAAAGTCAAAGTAGACCTTGGACTGATATGTGTGTTCTTATTTTGACATTTGAAAGTAGGTACACATGCTAATACCTAGTTGTTGTAAGAAATATGATTGACTATCATAGTGGGTTGCCTCCTAGGGCTGCTGACTTTTTGTTGATCTTACTTAGACCTATTCTACTATAAGTTTTTTCATCATGCAATGCTTTTCATCCATTTTCATGAGATTTCATTGGACAAGCTCCCAGGCTCTTGTGGGTATTAGAAACTCAACCAATGCAGCAGATTACGCATTTTAAAAGATTAATTTGACTATTCTGAAAGTTCAACTTCAGAATCATATTTAGAAAGCACGCTACATGAAACTGCACTGTCACATGGAAAAGAGAGGTCATTGCTCATTAACATTCTCCTACCATCTTTTGCCATGTTTTGCATCTTGAAACAGTTTTATTGGCATTTTGCCTTTATTCTTGTAATTGTAAGTATTGGCAATTAGTGTATACAAGAAGAATCGAGAAGAATTTAAGGTGGAATGGTAAATAATTACGGTCATTTGAAAACTCATCGAGCCTTGTTATTTGGGAGAAACGGTTATGACTGTTATCAAGCATCCTTTTGGTGTCCTCTAGAGCAGTGAGCCTTTTATAAGTTGTACTGATCCAGTTTTTGTTGACTTGTATATTCTGTAAGTTGATGGTATAAAGACTTAAATAAAATGTGCAGATTAGACATGGAGAGGCTGTTGGAATCATTGGACCATCAGGTACTGGAAAGTCAACTATACTGAAAATAATGGCTGGACTTCTTGCTCCAGACAAGGTAATCTTTGGAATGTAATTTTTTGCTGGCCCTGCAACTTGGATCTGAGATAAGTGTGTAATTTAATTAATGAGTTCTGCCAGATCTGACATTATTTGTGCCATGGTTTCCTCCATGGACTGTGTTTTATGGGTAGGGGGAGGTTTTGATACGTGGAAGAACACGTCGTGGTTTGATCAGTGATGAGGAAATTGCTGGCGTTCGGATTGGCTTAGTAAGTTAACTTCAAATGGCATATTTTATGAGCTGTCTTGAATTCGTCATGTGATATGAATTAAAAGAAGAGACCTTTTTTATGACAGGTGTTTCAAAGCGCGGCACTTTTTGATTCTTTAACCGTTCGTGAGAATGTTGGTTTCCTTTTGTAAGATACATAATACTTCCTAAACAGCAGTGATTCATCTTTTTCTGCCTTTTGCCAAGAAACATAATAGTATTCAGTTCATCAATACTGAAATAATATGTTTGGCTCATGCTCAATTAACAGATATGAGAACTCTAACATGCCTGGGGATCAAATCTCAGAGCTTGTAACTGACACTTTGGCTGCAGTTGGGCTGAAGGTATGTAGAAATGATAAATATTCATGATAGATATATCAAACATCAAAACATGGTAGACCTGGATCATGTGTATAAAATAGTAAACCTTGATCACGTGTATATTTCTTTCGTCTGGTCTTTTAGTTCACGGGGGACACAAATATGAAGCAGTTTTTTTCAACTGTTATATGAGGAGCATAGGTGCCTAGTCATAATTCATTATGATATAAAGAAGTAAGCACATGTTAGTTGGCCATGCATCATGGAGAATTATGCATGTTAGTCTAATAGTTTCCCTTAATTTTGTTGCATACTATCATTAATGATACCCAAAATGCTTGGGTCCATCAAGTTTTGCTTATCGTGAAATGATATAAACATACATATGTAAGTGGAATAGATAATGACTACATTTTGTTTGGTTCTTTATGAACCATGAAATGTGTTCTTTACCTTGTGATTGAAGTTTGTCGAATGTACTTTGGTACTGATGGTTCAAGTTATTTAAAGTCCTGGTGGCATCATAATGCTTGAATCTTGCATTTGAATGTGGGAATATCAAACAGAAAAGGAAAGGAATATAGTCAAAATAATTGTCACTACTGTTGTATGAGGTTTCTTACGATCTTCAACTTTTTGATCTTTATTAATGGTTTATGCAGGGAGTTGAGGATCGACTACCTGCTGAATTGTCTGGTGGGATGAAGAAAAGGGTGGCCTTAGCCCGTTCTATAATTTTTGATACAACAAAGGATGTAGTGGAACCAGAGGTAAGTAATGAGGGCTTTCTTATTGGTTACTTTTTACTGGACTTTTGAGGTTCTGCTCTTCAAAAAGTCCATATTTGTGCATTAAATCTTGCCAATTTTGGTTTCTAAACTGAAGTATGATTTAGCTTGGTCTTGATTCCTCATTTCATGTTATATAAGTGCCTGCAGTTTTGGACAACAAATCACTGTAGGATTGTTAGCTGATTTTGGCTCTTGATATTAGAACAGCTGATGTGACATCAAGACGTGTCAACTTATATTCAAATTAACCATTCTGTGCTTAATTTGTGATGACAGAGTTGTTATGGCTAGTATCTCCATAGTCTGAACACTTTTTAGTCAATCACTATATTACATATTGCCTACCAAAAAGAAAGAAGGAATTCAGGTAATAAAGATGCATTCAAATTTGTGGTCTTATTAAACTTCAAACTGAACTCTGCTTGAAATGGCAGTTTAAACTTTGTCTTTAGACTAATTTCTTTTCTGCAAAGTTGTTGCCTTCCGCATAGAACTTGCAGATGATTTTCAATTAATTATCAGTGACAGGAGATTATTAGCAACGACTATGTTAAGTCTTACTCTTGTTTTTCACGTCTTGAATATCAGATGCAGGAAAGGTAAAAAAAGGAAGGAAAAAAGAAGAAGAAGAAGAAGAAGAGAGAGAGAGAGAGGGGGGGGGAGGGAGGGAGGGCAACAAAGTTTGGGGAAACTTCTTATGCAAATTAGATCTCAAGTTAAGAAATTTACTTCTCCTGTGCTCTTTTAGATCTGATTATATAACCTGCTCAAGAAACGTTCCATTAACCATTTTAATAGAGAAATATACTTCCGTTAGGCTTTGAAGTAGTCTTGCACTGGGTTAAGATTTTTGCCTTTTCTCAAGACTTGGTGACAGTATTACTCTTTCTCTGCTAAGTATTAGAGTTACTTGTGTGAGATAGAACATTTTAAGTGCTCTTCCCAGTCAAAAATTGTCTTAGGGTGAGACACAACTAGTCTGTTTTCTAGTATTTCCATTTCCTTAGTGTTGCTTGAAATCTCTTGGTTGTGTACACATTATTCTAGCTGCTTAGCGATATGCATCTGTTGCAAACTCTATAGGAAGTTATTGACAATGGTGATAGTTTTTCCACATTTGAGCAGGTCCTCTTATATGATGAACCTACTGCTGGACTTGATCCAATTGCATCAACTGTAGTTGAAGATCTCATACGCTCTGTTCATATGAAAGGTGAGAGTGATGTCAGTAAGCCTGGGAAGATTGCCTCTTATGTTGTTGTCACTCATCAACATAGTACCATCAGAAGAGCTGTTGACAGGTACTTAATGCTCTCTTGCAAGTTTTTTAGTAGGATGCTGCAAAGCCTTGTGTGCATGGAATCAAGCATTTTTACTTGACCTTGTCCTAAAATTCATGTGCGGTGGTGTCTAGGTTGTTGTTTCTCTATGAGGGAAAGGTCGTCTGGGAAGGAATGACTCATGAGTTTTCCTCATCAGCAAACTCTATTGTACGGCAGGTAACAGCCACTATTGATTGGATGCTGAACTTACATTTTAATGTCTTCCAAGTATATGTATATGATATTTTAGGACTTTAACCTGGTCTTCTTTATCAATTTCTTTGGAGAAATACTATGAGAAGACAAATTACTAGGGGAAGAGGGGATTATGTGCAGGAGTGGAGATGCGTGTTAGTTGCATTTTGTTTCACTAGCTAAGCATGAAAGTGTGAGTGAATTCCCTCCATCCGACAAAAAATGACTATTTTTGGAGTTGCGCTTCCTTTTCAACAGTGATAAATAAAGAGTGAAGTTTGGGAGGTTTCCCAAGTTTACCCTCTCTTTTTGATGATTAGCACACAACATTTGATGGAATCTTGGTAATTCCAACAGTTCAAGGCCTGCATGTGTTGCTAAGTTGCAAATTACCCTTAGCATTCTTTGCACATTCATGGTAATGATGCATGTATCATCATAAGCACTTTTGCAAATGGGCAAAGATTTATAAATGTGGGTTCATATTTGAAGATAAATGTGGACTATTATTTTTCTCATCAAAATAGTGGCAATGTTGTACGATTATAACTATGGCACACAAATTGATAAAAGGGAATATAGGACCAATATAAATTACCATTTGGCTCAACAACCAGGTTTCTCATCATCATTGTTTTTAGGAGCTGATGTATTGTTTATTCAGTAGAAATACTTTCAGGTATAAGTTTCCAAATACTTGGCCTTCCCTCACCCTCAGTGGTGGGAGAATTGATGCACTAAATTTGTCAACAAAATGGCCAACGTACTTATCTGGTTATATATATGTATTGACCATGTATTCGTTCTTTTGTCTCAAGAAAATGTTACATTTACAAATCCACTCCTCTCTGACTTGCTTCCCGAGAGATGTATGCACAGCACACAAAACCCATATGTTGTGGTTTGTTTACCTATGACTTGGTTAATTCATAATTTATGCAAATGTTGAGTTAATTCTTAACAGTTTACCTGTTTTGCAATTGCTGTAGTTTGCATCTGGGAGTTTGGATGGACCAATTAAGTATTAGCTTATAAAACAGTGCTTAGCATGAAGATGCATGACATCCTTTAACTTGGATGCCAATGGATTTCACTTCGGAGAGAGAATTTAAATGGTTGAGTTGCTGGTTTTTTCCGGTCAAGCATAGCAATCCACTCAATTTGAATGGAGTGAACTAGCTAACATTTCAGCCTCAACAAGACGTGCCTGTCCTTGTGATGTTGGTGCAGCTTTTATTTTGTGAGCCGGCATCCACAACTTTGCAAGTTGGATAACATTGAACGTGACGACGGTCTACTTTTTTGTGGTCTTTATATTCTTTTCAGAATTTTGACCTTGTACTCATTCTTGCACCGGGCTCTACCTTGTAATTTGGAGTTATTTGATCGTCTAATGTATACCATTTGTAACCACAGTTCAAAGTCTTGGCTGAGACTGAGAGGACTCGGCCGTGTCATCACAGGAACGGACCTCTCCGTTTTGATTTCGATATCGGGACGGGATGAGTCTGACATACATGGGTCGCCAAGAAATAAGCCGAGTCACCGAAAACTCGGTCGAGAAGTCTTCGATACGAATAGTTTCAGCTGAGTTATTCCGAGTTAAATCGCAAATTTACATTTTACAGATTTTCTTTTACTAATTTTTTTATTATTTTTGTTTAGCATATTTTTGAATATTATTCACAATTTTTAGAATATTAAATGCTTCAAAATTTGCGTCTCGTCGAGATCGTGACCAATATGTCGAAATCGATGTGGAACGGTCAAAGCCGCGACCGCGACCGTAACAGCGACCAATCATTGAACCATGTTGTAACGTAAACTCATATCAAAAGTTAACGAAACGAATTGACAATGTCTATGAGGTTTGAGGATGTCAAGAGTTGCAGGAAATGTTCAAATGGAACAATAGAGTGGCATTTCAGAAACTGTACACAAAGCAAAATCGGGTTTCGAATCAATCAAGGCAGAGGATGTAACAAATGATAGAATTTAGGTGACAAAGATGCTCGAGTAATCCCCTTTTGGGATTTTCCCCCATTTTGCATTTTAGAAATTACATCTCCATTTTGCAACACTTGATGGAATAATGCAGAGATATGAGCAGCAAGAATGGTATTAGATGCTTTTATAGCTTGGATGAGGTAATTCAGAGCACAAGAATCAAACAAATGACGAAATATTACACTAAAAGTTTGCATCTTTGCAAGATAAATAGATCAAGAGCTCCAATAAGGTGATTCTTTCTTGATGAGGCTATGCATTTACGGTCTGGAAACTTTTCTACTTTGCCATTGTAGTTAGCTAAAGCAGAAAAATCATGGCTGTGACATCATTATTCCTGTATTCTGCTGCTGGAAACGAGCTTGAGATTTCTTCACTACTGGCATTTAGCTTCTCTACTTTCTTAACGGAATCACCTTCTTAATAAATCCCGAGAATGTGAGGGGTCTCGAATCAGCCATGGCCAGGCATTGGCCTTCCAGTAGAAAAGCACCTTCAGGCCTCCCCCTTTTTACCCGGGGAAAGAAATTGGCGATTTGATTCAAGAATAAACATAGGAAGTCCGTCAAAATCACCAAAACAAACTGTGTCCATCTGAAAAGGACATTCCATACTTTGTCCAGGCATAGCAACCATCCACATTGCCGAATATCAGACAAAATTACCTTTAACGAATTGAAAAGGTACCAGCACAGCAAAATGTGGGACTCCTAGTAAAGAGCAAATGATCTGAAGTTATTCAGCCTACAGGTTACCTGTTTGTTGGCTTAGGTGATTGCTTTGCCGCAAATGGCACGAGAAAGAATCAACTCTGACAAGCCCAAACAAACCTGAAAGGGATGCCTAAATGACATTGTTTTGGAGCATGAGCTGTAAAACTCCAATGATTTCTGTTTTATTCTCAACTGTGGGATCGAAAGTGAGTGACTGCAGAAACTAAGTGAGGTGACACATTACAGCTTTTGAGTCATACTTTGCCTCAAACTACGCCTGTAACTTGAACTAATTTAGCATGCAGACTGCAATAAACCTATATTGATCAAGTCTTAAAGCCTTCGTATTGTAGGATGAATCTGTGTTAGATATGTTTAGTCACTAGGTGCAGAAATTTATTCAAAATGCAGAAGAGCTAAGAAGATTAACGGGAAGTAGTTAAAAAGAGGCAAGACATTGTTCCTGTACAATGGAATATCATCATTCATCATCCCAAGTTGCAGCGTACATGTACAAAAGCATTATATTTTCGTTTGCAGAATGTAGTTTCTTGTCCGAGTGGAACAGAACAAAGCCACAAGACCAGAATAAAAACTAACCAAAGCACTAACGCAAAATATCCAAACTGATATTGGTCCTTCATCCATTTCTCTTTCAAACGTCTTTCCTGGAACTTCTGGGAGGCTTCCTCTTGTACAGCCATCATCAGAGAACCTCACACATAAGTATGGATTTCCTGCAAATGCTCCAGAAAATCTCCAATGCGTCTGCTCCTTGGGTACTATTCCAGAGAAAAAATTGTAAGAAAGATTCAGGAGAGTCAAATTTCCCAGATTGGAAATGTTATCTGGAATCTGACCAGCCAAAGAATTGTGTGACAAATCTAGAACCCTTAAGCTCAACATCATTCCCACATTTTCAGACACTTGACCGTCAAGAAAATTGTGAGACAAATTTAGGTATTCAAGACCTTGCAATCCAAATAGACTCGCTGGAATTTGTCCGTGTAGTTGATTATCTGACAGATCAAGTCCAACTGCAGTTGAGAGATTGTAGTTGAAGCTTAGTTCAGTTTTACCAGCAACAATGACAGAATATTTGATATCCAGCTTTGGAGATGTAACCGATGAAATTGTAGTGGTCGTTCTGCCAGCACCAACACTGATGAAATTTTCACTAACGTTAAAATTACCATCAACAATGTAGCCAGAGAACTTATTCCCAGAAAGGTCCATTGTACGGATTGCTGCAAATGTGAAAAGCCAACTAGGTAGAGCTCCACTGAATTTGTTGCGAGCAAGGGAAAGAAATCTGAGGTTGGACCACTTAGTAATTGCATCATTCAAATACCCAGAAAGATCATTATAACTGAAATCTACAACTTCCAAAGATTTACATCCTGCCAAGGTGAGCGGTATCTCCCCAGAAACCTGATTGCCGCTAATATCAAGTATCTTCAAACTATCTAATGCATCGAGCTCAGGTTGGATTTCACCAGAAAGATTGTTGTTGTTCAGTACCAGGGCCAGTAGTTGAAAACAGCCGACAATGTTCAAAGGTATTGAACCTGACAGTATGTTATGTGAGAAATCAATCACTTGGAGATAGGTTAAATTCCCAATTCTTGACGGTATCTCTCCACTAAGCAGATTATTGGAAAGATACAATGCCTGCAAGCTTTTTAATTCTGTAATCGTTACCGGAATATTCCCAGAAAAGTGATTGTGCGACAGATCAAGAAGTAAAAGCCTAGATTTCTCTGAAGCCTCAACTATCTTGCTTGGAAGTCTCCCAGATAATTCATTGAAACTCAAGTCCAGGACAACTAATTTTTCTGAAAACACAAATCTAGGAGAGATCCCATATGTTAATACGTTAAATGACAAATTGAGCTCTGTCAATCCTCTAAGAGCAGAAATGCAGGTCGGTAACCCTCCCATAATTGAATTATTGGCTAAATTGAGCACCGAGAGTGATGCAGACGAGGCAGAGAAACATGGCAAGGTGCCAGAGAGCAAATTAGCCTCAAGGTTGATATGCCCAAGAGCTTGACGAAAATCGCCAACACTTCCCACCAAATAATTGTGGGACAAATCCAAATACCTCAATGCCACCGAGTTAAACAAGCTTTTTGGTATCTCACCATTAAAATTATTGAAACTCAGACTAAGTTTTTCGAGCTTGACAGAGAAGTTCCCAATCCAAAAGGGGATGGTACCCATTAACATGTTATGACTGAGGTCCAGCTGAACTAAATTGTGAAGTTCCATGAGTGCACTGGGAACAACACCACTAAACCTGTTATAGCTAAGATCCAGATTTTTAAGCCTTGAAAGACCCCCAAAGCAGAATGGGACAGAATCATTGAAGCTGTTATGCGACAAACTAAGGGTTTCAAGAAATGTAAGATTGCACAAACAGGGGTGCACCTGGCCTAACAAGTCCAGTCCAGTGAGGTTAAGTGCAATAACCCGGCCAGTCTGGTTTGAACAGGTGACACCATGCCAGTTGCACCCAACAGCGCCATCCCAGCCTGACAAACTCTGGGATTGTTCCAGGAGCTGTGACTTAAACAACAAAAGTGCAGCACCGTCTTGAGGGTCAAGACCAATCTCCACCTCACCGCCCACATTCGCAGAATCATTGTTCAAAGAAACAGCAAAAATAGCAAGAGGGCTTGACAAAAATACGAAGAAGAAGAGCAACAAGAATGACAAAGGCCAAAGAACAAAGCTTTTCTTGCAGACCATGATATCAAAATCCCATCTTTCTTCCATGGATTAAAGATGGGCTATTTATGAGCTACCATAGAATGGTCCACTCTCACTGCGTGAGTGTGTGTTTTTTCTTGTGTCAAAACAATAGTGTCAGTACCTGCAAGCTGGAAACGATGCAGTGAGCTATCTAAGACCGAATTGGGAGGCGGGGTATGAAGAACAGACATTCTTTTCTAGCTTCCTCGAATTTGCTGCAAAAAGGGATTCCTTAGCTACTGATTAAAGCTCAAAAGTTTTAGTACTGCTAGAGTATTATGTTGCCATATTGCAAGGTGTGAACTAAGGTAAAGTAAACAACTTTTGATTCTGGTGTCTTTTCTTGAAATTCTCTGTTAATGTGCTGTTCCTGCTGCTCTCTTTTGCTTTACTTTTAATCTCTCGAGGAATAATACTGTAGCAGTAGTAATCTGTTTGAAATTCTCTGTTAATGTGCTTGCTCCTGCTGCGCCTTTTAGCTTTACTTTTTATCTCTGGAGGAATCTGCTGTTCATTTCGCAAGCGCGTGTACTCTTCTTTTTTTTTCAGTAATATAAAAAATTTAAATAAATTTAACTTCGATCACCACTACAATTAGGACATATTTATTTTTTAAGAGGTTATAGCTCAACAACGCAACCACTACATTGAAGAGTTTTACAAATGATTCATCAACGTATCATTTCAATGCAGGACGAGAAAGTGACCGTTCTTATTAATTCAGTTAAAATTCAGTTTACCTGTGTAATGTATTAACATTGTGTGGACTCATGCCATTTACGTTCAGGGTTCATCTTTTTGTCGCCTAGGACACATCATCATCAATTCCCAATCCTTCAACAACTTTTTTGGGCGCGTGTTAAAGGTTTCCCATTACATGTCAATCACTTGAGGCTTCTGTCTACTCTGCAGTTGAATTATATTATTATAGGGTTGCAAACGAATCGAGTCGAGTCCAGATTTGAGCTAATCGAGCTGAGTCTCGATTAAATTTTATCAAGTTCGAGCTCGACGAGCCGACAAATTTCGAGCTCGAGCTCGAAAAAAAATAAAAAATAATTATTTTATTTTTAAAAAAATAAATAAAATAATATTTTTTTCTTAATAAATAATAAAATATTAAGGATATATACGTAATTTTACTATGAAAATA